TATTTCGTAACCTTTACGTAATTTATGTGCATTTTATGTAAACGATCAAGTCTCTTGTCAAACCACCTAATTTACTAAATTTTTTAGGGCTAATACCACTAGGAAACCCGAACTATTAAGAATGTGTCATTTTTGTCCTAAAGTATCCAATATGAGATTGGTGTACTAACTATTTTTTCGTTAGAGTTGACCGGCGTTGACCGTTAGTATTTAAGAAATGGCACATTCTTAATAGTTCGGGTTAGGACATAAATGACACAAAACTATAATAGTTTTGTGTCATTTATGTCCCAACCTATTATAATTTTGTGTCATTTAAGTGAATAACCATAGTATTACGTGAATAGGCACCAAATAGTGTGAATGGGCACAAAAATATGTGAAAATGCCCGTTTTAGGTGTTTTGTCACCTAACGTGACAAGAGATTTTTTCCTTATGTAAAAAAAAGTTGTAATATGTCATTACGGAGACCTTACGTAATGGATGACTCTTTTACTTAAATGAAAATTAACTTTGTGTTACTTTTACGTAAGAAACAAAACTGTTGTTTCGTAACCTTTACGTAATGGATGTGTACTCTAAGTAATGGTTATAAAAAGTCAACAAGTGATTGTCTGTTTGTTAGAGAGTGGTATAAGATCCAACATAATCTTCTCCAAACAACTCAAGTTATTGAGACCAACCACGATCCAGCATAAACTTCTTCCAACAACTCGAGTTATTAGGACCAACTGGTTTATAACATTGTTTGTGTCGGTTACCGTTTCTTGGTAATCGACATCTGAATTGATTCTAATATATTTTTATAAGTTTGTAATTTATTTTTAGTTACCTCACTTGAAATTTTTTTTTATCACTTACGCATTTGGCAATCAGCAGGCATATCCATCGACCATCGCAGACAACTTCAATTGTATGCTGGTGTATATTCTTTCTCCGGCTACATATATGAATGATACCTCCGATCCCAAAGTTCCCTATATATACTTGTTGTAACCCCCTCATTTCCAAACACAGCAAAGAAACAGGGGACAAGGCAGAGAGAAAGACAGAAAATGTGCATTGCTGTCTTTCTATGGCAAGCTCATCCGCTCTACCCTCTGCTTGTGTTGCACAACAGAGATGAATACCACAACAGGCAAAATCGATTTCCCTACTTTCATCCTCTGTTTTTAAGATGTGATAGTACATGTGACCATATTGTGGCAGTGCTTAACGAGGGTCGAAACCGAATCGAAATATGTATTCCAGCGCTTGATTAACTGGTTGTTCATGGGTTTTGTGCATCCTGTGCAGGCCTACAGCAGCAGTGCAGTGGTGGGGAGGGAGTTGCGAGGAAAAGGAGGTTCTTGGGGGAAGAGATGGTGTGGCGGGAGGGACATGGTTGGCTTGTTCAAGAGGAGGCAGAGTGGCATTTCTTACCAATGTTTTGGAGCTTCATCCCTTCCGCAATGCCAAACCTCGTGGAGAGCTCCCGGTTCTTTTCCTCCAGGTAAAATTTGTTCGATCCTAAGGTTATAGTATTACAGGTATAATACGTTCCTCTAATATGCAATTTTATAAAAAAACATGTTTCTCAACTATTTTTTTCCGTCGAATTTACCCTTATACTTAAAAAATATATTATCAAACATGTCCTTTTATTAAAATTTCACACTGTAGAATTTGATGACGCGGAATTGAAACGAACACAGAAGACAACGATTTTACGTGGTATCCTCGATCGATTGATTGATCGAGACTAATCCACGGTGATCTCGGAACGAGCTCACGACTGACGTTTTATTACGTGAGGACTACATTGTGACGGCTTGCTTACGACAATCTCGTAGCTAAGCTTGTATATAGATAGACATAGGGTTAAAACCCTAATAACAACCAAGTTTCCTTCTTTGACAAGGACAAGGAAACAAGGGACTTGGAGGACAAGGAATTAATTATTTTTGACTAAATAATTAATATCCTCAACACTCCCCCTCAAGCGAAGACATGAATGACAAGAATGTCGAGCTTGAAAAAGGAAATGTGACGAACAAGCATGACAAGCTTGAACAACAAAACTCGAGATGAATAATCTCTCAGACGAGGTTGATTTGGAGACGACTGACTCTCTCCCTTGAACAACCTTATGAAGACGGTTGACTGCGTCTTCTAGAACTTCCTGACGGAGACGGTTAACTGCGTCTCTTGAACTCACTGACGGAGACGATTGACTACGTCTCTTGATCTTCCTGACGGATAGATAGACGCGATCGACTTGATGACTGAGCTAGTCGACCGACGTATGTTGACCTCCTATTCCCCCCTCAAGCTGGAGCATGAAAGACGTGAATGCCCAGCTTGAAAGTGAGAATGGTAATGACTCAACATTGACCGATGTTGAACGCGGAGGGGACGATCGCTTCTTTGATCGTGACTGCCTCGCATTGAACTTCTTTGTTGACGAAAGCTGTATCTCCCCAACACTAGCTACTGAAAGGACGACCACTGCAGATCGTGACTGTCTTCAATGCCATGACTTTAATCGATGTTGGTGAAGATTCACGATGATATAACCAGCTACATGACATGCCGTGAGATAAAACTCCACCTTCCACACTTAGAGTGACGTTGATTGGACAGAGAAGCCAACTCCGGTACCCCAAACTGATTTAACCAAGCGGCAACGGAAGTGCTTGATCTTGGTGCTATAACTCGTTACCTTCCATTGCCCAACTTTTGACCACCAAACAAATTTTTTTTTTCACCACATGAATGGAAGAATAATTGACTGTGGGGTGATACCCTGCAAAGCACATTAGCACCAAGTACAAGATGAAAGACGAGCCTCACCCAAGGATGTTACAGAAGAGGACAAACCCATTTAGACATGCTTCTGAATGCATCTTCTCGGCAAGTTTTGTTGAACTTGGATTAAAAGCCAAACTTGTACGACATATGGAAAGGGCTGCTGGTTAAATCTTTGGAACAAAACTTCAGGGATGAGGCTTGACTCGGTGATTGAAACCTCCGACTTGAGATTAGAGGCCGGAAGATCAATTGCTATGATGCGACCATGCTATTTGACGATGTGGCCGCAACAAAGATGAGACGACGACCAACTAAGTTTGATTATATGCTGAAACGAGCTATGAACTTCAGATGATGTGCAGGGGAAAGCCCTTTAATTTCCAAGGTACACCACGTACACAAGGCTTGACAGCACGAACAAGAGCCTTCCTACCGGTTGTCTCAAGCTTGACTCTTCATCGGACATGATGAAGCAACTCAAGAGAAAAACTCAGCTGCACAGACAATGAAAATTAAACCCTTGCTGAACTTTCAGCTTCGAATCTAACCCTTGATTGTATGTAGACGGAGACGCCCTCGGTGTCGAATCGGAGTCTCTTTTGGGCTTGGCCTTTGTGTTGCCAACGAACCAACAAGACTACGGAAACAAACAACGCTAACGTGAAGAAGAAGGGCAGCCGAGACTGAATCTTGACTTTGATGATTTGGCCGACGAGGTTGATGACTTAGCTTTGACTAGGTGCCGCGACTCAGGAGCTGCCGGCGATGCTTGATTGAAATCACGTTGAATTGATGATTGAGATTCTGGGTCGAAGTGGTCTCTCTCCAAACATAATTGACCAAACGAAAACACAAAAGCTGATGACGACGATGCGCGGACGATGATGGTGTGGGACGACGACAGCATCATCAATAGCGGCGCATATGGCATTAATTCCACTGGAGAGGATGCAATGGAGCTGGAGATCTTGTTCTTGACGGCGGGAGGGACTTCGCCGACCATGATACGAATCCGGAGTAGAAGGCCGGATTGGACATCGGCTCTTCTTTCAACGACAACCATGACTATCGACGGGATGCCGAGATGATGTTGGAGAGACGCCAACATTGAGTTGACTACCGACGCAGGCTATTGTAAAGGTAGCTTGAGAGATTGACGGACGGCGGGCTGGACTTCATCTTGACTGCGGAAGCTCAAAACCCTAAACAAGGGATCGAGTTTTGCTCTGATACCATGTAGAATTTGATGACGCGGAATTGAAACGAACACAGAAGACAACGATTTTACGTGGTATCCTCGATCGATTGATTGATCGAGACTAATCCACGGTGATCTCGGAACGAGCTCACGACTGACGTTTTATTACGTGAGGACTACATTGTGACGGCTTGCTTACGACAATCTCGTAGCTAAGCTTGTATATAGATAGACATAGGGTTAAAACCCTAATAACAACCAAGTTTCCTTCTTTGACAAGGACAAGGAAACAAGGGACTTGGAGGACAAGGAATTAATTATTTTTGACTAAATAATTAATATCCTCAACACACACAAAGAAATTGTTAACCACCGCCGAACCATGATTTGTACAAACTAGTCTCGGTAAAATGAAAGGGAAAATGTCTCCAGGTCTCATAAAAGAAAAATTATTACAGGTATTGTCTATACAAATGAAGCAAAAAAAAAAATGTTAAAGTGAATTATTAAAGGTATGTTCGACATTGTTATTTCTCAAACCACAGTTCGACCGTAGTTAAGCGACTTTGATAAAAGTGCATGACAGAGGGGCATATTATACCTATTTAAGAAGAAAAGTTGAGGGCATAATTATCATATTTGAGAAGTGAAACACAAAACCGTTCAATGATAAATAAATAAATAAAAAGTGAAGAATAGTTATGCGTGATGAGGAGAATGAACACCACGCTTATGATTTACTCAACATGGTAAGACCTCTCGTGCATATTTGTATTCGACTATTTGTACCGTTGAAAATTTTCAGCTAAAAAAATCTTTACACTCCTATGTCAAGAGGGTATGTTGTGTTACACCTTTAGTAATGGACAAAAGGGTGTCCAATGAGCGACTCGGATGGTTCGAGTATCGCTCAGTTGACTACTAAAACACAGTACAATCTGACCCGTTCCAAATATTCGAGCCATTCGATGAGTGATAACCGACTATTGACTAGTGTATTGATTCTTTCCTCTAACACCAATAACTCGATGTATTGGGAAGATGTTGAGAAAAATCGTGTGTACAAAAATATACATTAAGGATATTGGATTGAAAATGAGTTTCATCCTTCTCATTTACAAGATGTGAATGATCATTTTGTCATCCATCTAGGGGAAAAAATACAAAGTGATCGAATCCTGTTTGTTTTGACAGAGTTCCAAGAGTCCTAAGGAGTTTGCGGAAGGACTACTGAAGGAGGCACACCACTACAACGGGTTCAACTTGATTCTCTCGGACATTTCGTCGAACACTATGGTGTACATCTCCAACCGGCCGAAAGGGGAAGCTGTCGTCGTCCAGGATGTTTCCCCTGGCCTTCATGTCCTCTCCAATGGAAAGCTCAATTGTGGCTGGCCCAAGGTTGGTTTCGTTTTTCTTCTCTTCCAGTTTTGGGATTGTGGGTCCCCTTTTCTCCATTTAAATCCACGGGGTTTGATTGTTGAATCCAATTGCAGTCGCAGAAGCTGAGAAAGGGTTTCAAAGAACAGCTATTGAAGTATGGAGAAGGGGCAGTTCATCTGAAAGAGATAGCAAAAAAATTGATGACGGACACAGTTAAAGCTGACAAGAAGAAGCTACCTGGCATTTGTGCTGTGGAATGGGAGCTGGCTTTAAGCTCCATTTTTGTGGAAGTAGACACCCCACTGGTAAAGTAACAGACGATCAAGTCAAATCACTTGGCACAAAATCAAGCCAATATACTTCTATCATGATGCTAGGGATGACTAATTCCATGTCAGTTTTCACTTTTCAGGGATGGTGTGGCACCAGGAGCACTATTGCTTTGACAGTGGGGAGAAATGGGGAGGTTTGCTTTGATGAGACCTACCTGGAAGATGGAACATGGAAGGAGAAAACTATTAATTACCAGATCCAGAACTTCAGACAGCTGAACAAATTACTTTGCTAATTGCTACTAGTAACTAAATAAGAGAACGTAAAGAAGAAGATAATGGAAATTTCAGCATATGTTCCAGTCAATCTGTAAATGTTGACTGATCATAAACATGTATGAGACTGTAACAATCTGTTACACTCCAAGGATCATGACCAATCTACAAGCATTTTTCACCCGAATAATATGAAGAGAAACAGCTTTATCAGCACGCTATGTAATGTGATGGCCAAAATGCTATTGCCATATAAGAGTTCACACAGACAGTTCTTACTTGCATACTCGCAAATGCATTCCCATCACTCCAAAATATATTTCGATTCCCCTGCACCTCTGCAGCATCAAAACAAAAACACGAAGTAAATCATCCAGCAAAGGCTTTTCTGCAAACATTAAAGCTCCATAACACGAAGCGAAAAGGAAATATTACATAAATTAATGAACGAGTTCCAGGCTGCCAAGTTCTGAACTCCATCAACCATTCCAGCGGTCCAAAGCAAGCAGCTGCACTCAACTTGTTGCGCGATGGATTCAATTGTAGAGGTAATTCATTTGTGAAAGGCCAGGCAAAGTTCCAGTCATGGTTCCTGCATCTTGTTTCTCAAAACCTTCTGCAGTGAAAATCAATGCCAAACTATTCTACCAGCCTTCTGTTGCTTAACAGGTTCATTTCCAATGAAAGCAACGTATACATTAGCAAGTACCAATCAAACTCAATCATAAGAACAACCACACACACCCATAACTTAAGAAAAGAACTTCGGCTTCAGTTTAGCATGGCGCCAAAGTTCCAATCTTTCGAGCGTTACAGTTCATACATTTCACACCAACAACAACCCTATTCCAACAAAAAGACAAAATATCTTCGCAAAGAGTTGCAGAAGCCAGGGGGAAGAGCATCAGTAAAGTGAACTTGTCAACAGTACTTACCTGAATTTTCAGAGATCAAGTGTAAACCATCACTTGCCACTCCCCCAACCTCGCACAATAAATTTTCATTTAAACCCTAGAAACCCAAATCACAGCTCGCAAAACAAACCCTAACCCGGAAGAAAATCAGCACGATTCCAAATCCAGCAGAGAGAACGAAAAACACAGAAGCAGATTCAGTTAAAAACTAAGCAATAGAGAGCGCCTGGAAATGACGGATTGACTCGAAGTTCATTCCCATGGCTTCCAGCGGAAACCAGCCGAGCAGGAAAGAAAACTCTTTGGAAAAGCACGACACCGTCATATCTGGTTTATAGCCGCGGGAAAGGAAACGGAAAACCTGAAAGGCTGTCATAGGCTTTTGGGCCGCGATTTTCCACGATAACTGAGCTTATACAAGAACTGGCCCGTAAGAATAAACCCCATAATGACAAAAAAAAAAAAAGAATAAACCCCATCATTGGCCCATTATTGTCAGAGTGGGAAGGGGATATATCTGAACTAGGTTTTTCTTTGCCCGCGCTCTGTGCCGGGATGGGTGGAACAATTAAGATATTGTATTTTGATGTATATATAAACTTGATCCTATTGAGGTTCTATTCTAAGATCATTAATAGTTGTTCAGGCTGAAATAGCATGTACATTTGGAATTCATATCGATCCCAGAAAAGCTACAAAATTTGTGATATACCATTCATTAATGGAATACACATGCCTTGACTTCTTAAAGCCATATAATATCCTAGGAGACTTGCACAAAAGTTGCTGAGAAACATAGTAGTAAATACACAGAAGTACATTAAGTCCTAAACTGTTTGAAATTGTCTCTGAGATAGTCAGTGCAGGTAGATGGGGAATCTGTGCCTGATAGTTATTTGTACAATAATTTCCAAGGAAACTGATGATCACTTGTCAAAGGCTGAGGTGTTCCACAATGTTGCCACTCTTATTTGTATGCGAGCTGGAGGATCTGTGGAGTTCATATTTGGCCACCCAATGTATAATTGTCCTGCAAACACCTTCGCACAATTTTTGCCAATCATTGTTTTCATTGTTTCCTTCTCCAGCTTGCGATATCTTCCAGGTGACATACAAATGATTGACAGAGCTGCCTCATGATCCATTATGACCTCCATTTCGCCTGAATTGTCACGTAACATTGCTTGAATTTCATAGTGGGGTCTTACAATTAGAACAAATGTGTTAGTTATGTTGAAAATGTTTTCTAAGTCAAAGTCAAAGTTTGTGCAGCTGTATGCCTCTCGAAACTCAAACCATGTGTTTATAAGACGAGCGACGACACTGCGGTGGTTTATTCCCAAACGTATCCCTCGAAAAGTAGCGGATGATTGGAGGGTTTCTGAAATTGTGTCAAAGACTACCAGAAATAGACAAACATAAACGGCATATTTTGTAGATGTATCTAGACGTTTAAAGGAACACCTATTGAGATGGAATGTGTTTACTTCGGCTGTTGCTGGTGACCATGCAATCTTCTATCGTGGTCGTGCGTTTCTGGTGCGAAGCTTCCATGGTGGTAGGGACCTTTGTTTATGAGCTGTCTTTTTGAATTGTAAATTCTGTGAGTGGAGTTAGAAGTAGAAGGCGATTTACCTTTGTTTAGGGCTTCTGTTGGTTCGTGGAGTAAACTTCAGCTGAGGATAAGAGTCTACTTCTGGAAATAGAATTTCTTTTCGTAGGGTAGTGCAGGGTCCACGACGTTAGTCAATGTTGTGAAATTGGGCCAAACCATTTATGTGGGCTGATATTTAAATTTGGCAGGGGAGGTGTATTTTCATTTGTGGCCCAAAATTGTTGTCTTGCAAAACGTTAAGGAGTCTGTCGTTTGGTGAAAATAATTTATTTGTATGTTCTTTAAAAAGTTCGATCGAAGGAGCATCATAAAATATTCTATTGTGTCATTCTGCAAGAACAGGAAGAACATGAAGAACCTGCCCATAATTCAAAACGCAAACAATGTCTCCTGCTAGTTTGTTTGGTAGATACAATATTAAGGGCGGAAAGTAGTTTCTCCATGTGCCCCAAAAGATCGTTTTGTGTTCCAGATGACTCCTGCATTGTTGTAAAACGTGATTAGTCACTATCTCATAGACCATATTCATAAATTTTCTTTGAGTAGAACATGAAATGTGTCGGAATAAACTTTAAGGCTTACCTTCATAATCATGGATGGAGAACTTAATTTCCTGTGATATCTGTGAATGCTTCTGAGAACACAATGTTTCTTGTGTGATTTCCTGGAACACCCTCTTCATTTGTTATCAGAAACCTCAGCCCAGCTGCAGATCTGACTCTGGATACGGCCACATACAATTGGCCATGACTGAATACTGGATTCGGTAGATAAATTCCAACTTTATCTAGGGTTTGTCCCTGGCTTTTGTTTATCGTCATCCCATAACATAATCGAACAGGAAATTGACGTCTCTTGAGGATGAACGGCCATTTTTTGTCCTCAATGTTGAGCACAATTCGTGATATTGCTACAGGTTTTCCATCAAAGGATCCTCCCATGATATTTCCTATGATGCTATTCTGACCCAACGACGTTATCATCAATCGTGTTCCATTGCATAAACCACTTGGGGGGCTTAGATTTCTGAGCAACATTACTGGAGTGTTAGCTTTCAGTCTTATCTCGTGATCTGGCACACCATTGAACGATAAAGTATTCAGAAAATCAGTGGGAACAGGGACCTCTTTATCTAGGTGCATGGAATCGGAACTGTAGTAGCAATGCCCTTCTCCTGGCAGTTATTGCAACATGTAATCATTGATTTCAGTAACAACAGCATTTGTTGGAGTCACAATCGCTCTTCCTTCTAGGTACTTTGTGTCTTTATAGCAATCTGCAAATGATTCATATATTTCTTCTGTTATTGATTGAAGTGGATTTTTTCCAGGAATCACCAGAAATATTTCTGGTATCTCAATCCAGTCTGAAGGAGTGTTCGAACTAAAGGAGTTTGTATCCAACTTTCCATCTCCAAGAGCGAGAACCCATTCTCCAAATTTAAGGCCACAGGCTACTATCACATTGTTTTCTTGTGAATCATTTAGTCTCATATTCTTTGAAAGTCTCAGCATCTGAAAAGAATTCCACAATGGTGATCTTGTGATTGATCCATCACCTGTCTGTTCCCTTCCTGAATTTGCAATGACAGGTAAAGTTTGCCTGAAATCTCCACCTAAAATAATTGTTTTACCCCCAAATAGTTTATGTCCTGTTCCAGATAGAGGAATCTCCATCAGATCACAAAATGTCCTGCTAATTGCCTCAAATGCATGTCGATGTGTCATTGGCGCTTTATCCCAATTCCCAAACAATTAACGAAGCCTCGCATATTAGTTCAGCTAAATGTGTACCCTTCTTTATAGAACATGTCGATGTGTTGTCCAAGTGGAGTGGGATCTTGAATCTAGAATGAGCAGTTGTGCCATTTGGAAGTAGTGTTGCTGCAATTCCAGAGGAAGCAACAACAATCACTATTTTGGACAAACTCTTGAGCTTTGTGATTATTGCATTGTACAGGAATGTCTTGCCTGTTCCTCCATGTCCATATAAGAAAAAGGACTTCCCTAGATTGTTGTTGATTGATAGCATCACCGATGAGAAAGCTTCAAATTGATTTGCATTGAGTGCGCAAAGCATTTCTTCAGCAGCTTGTTGTTCCTGAGTAGTGTCAAAGTTTATGTAACACCCTACCCTATACGTATTACCTAATCATATTGTTCATACAATTGCAGCGGAAATAATCTCGGGTGTTACATTAATTATCAAAATTTACCCAAATAAAATTTCGACATGAATTACTCGCGTAATGGGCTAACAGTTCTTGCAACTTATCCTGCAAAATAATTCATCACAAACATATATATTCACAACCATAGGCATTGGCTTTTCTTAGCCATAGCCACACTTTTCATACTCCACAACTGCATACCATACTTATACATACCATAATCGTCACAACTTACACAGTTACACAACATATACACATATCATCAACTTTCCACACCTGTGGATATCTCACACTACATCAGAAGCTAATATGCACATGAAAAACGTTCTCAAAACATTTTTACAAAAAGGTGTGGATCACTGGCCAAAATCCCGAGTAGTAGTCCAAGCACAGAATAGTTAAAGACCATACCTCATCCTGGCTTCAACTCTAGCTCCTCTCCCACCTAACACTTATCTAATGTTGCTGTTGATGATCTACTTACACATAGCATAAGCAGAGAAAAAGAATAAAAGAGGGTCAGCTCATAGCTAAGTGAGATAATCATAGCATCGTGAGTTCATAACAGAGCATACCCCTACCATACATCTAGCAAACAAGCCAAAGCACTAGGATCAGACCTCAGCCATCCGACATCCCAATAGGCAAAAGACTCCACCACCTTGACTTATGCATATGCGTCTTATCATGTTTTACTTATAGGCGCCTGGCTACTCCCATGCTAATTACTCTCCTGGGAATACGGACCAAACATCTCGTGGATGTGGTCATATCGGACCCACCACTGCCGGTGTAGTCATATCGGACCTGACACCACTATGGGTGTGGTCATATCGGACTCAACACCACTCTGGGTGTGGTCATATCTCATGATGAATCAACGGTCAACACCACATCAGGGGTGTGACATAACATATCATAACGGAGTAATAGCATGGGGAGCCCTAATTACTATGTAATTGACCATGAGACCAAATCAGTCTTATTTGGTAATCTTATACATGATCCATATCTCATCTTGCTTACTCATAATTCGTTACTTGCACATGTACTTGACCGGGCCATACTTGGCTCAACATAGGTAAAACAGGAGTCGTATAATTGCACTTCCTCGGGATGAACCCTCGTGCAAGTCATCCTCCTTAAACATCATAATATCACCAGGGAATATATATTTTCCCACTTGTGCATCCAAATACAACAATCATGAAAAATCATACCTAATCACCTTCTCGAACCATCATAAAGCATATTAACAGTCAAGCCCACAAATGGCAATATGTATGCAATCATCAACATAAACAAGGTCCATATCGGCTAGGGCAAGTCAATAATATCATACAGCAGTCCAGGGTTCAACATATAGCACAAAAGTCCATACACCCCTAATCATGCCATTCTAGTTCACCTAGGTCAATTCTGAGCATAAGTATAATTATCGTGATACGACAAACCCGGTATGCCGTGCTAATCCCTCACCAGTTCTGGTTGTTCAAACACCGGTTTAACCTTCCCGTACTAAAACGTC